GGCGGCAACTGGGGTCGGTCGAGAGACTTTGTGGTGTGTTGCGTATAGACGGCACTGCTAGATGGCCTCGGTTAGGGTGGAGGGTAGGCTGAGGAGGAGAAGGTCAGTGACATAGGGTCAAAGAGACCGGTAGTAAAACGGTGGATGATGACTGTATCGCGTCGGTTGGGGGCAGATTAGGGGACACTGTAGAAGTGAAGCGAGTAAGTTCAAGCGCATAATGGTCTAGGGATTTCTCTGGGGCCTGTCATAAGGTGGCAAAACGTTCACTGGAGATGTCTATGGAGTCCGGTATCTTGAAAAGTCTCAACGCGACTTGGAAGGCTTGAGCAAAAGGGTCGTTACGTTAGTCCCGACGCCAATAACACATCTCCTTTCGGATCACGAGAGAACCCATAGTAAATAGCAAGTATTCAGGGGAGAGCGTACAGTGACCAGCATAATATCGAAGTCACGGAGCTGGTCGTGAATGTTGTGATCCAGTTCATAAACTTTTGGCGTTAAGAGTAAGCAGGGATAAACGTGTAACCGGGGTCATTTGTGCTGGTTGGATGTGGTGGATAGAGGAGAGGTGTGCCGGTAAAGGAGGCGGGCGGTAAATTCGCTGCCAACAATGTAGGGGCCGACCGGAGGAGTGCTGGCTCGTCCCAGACTACTCCAAATGTGTAGACCTACAATTTAATTCCGTCTGAATTTGCTGCTGCCGTTATTTTTACTAAAAGTCTGGCTAACTCATTGTGCATAGACACCGACAACTTAGGAGTAATATACATAATTAGAACAGGTATTGGTCACGACAAAAGAGTTTGCTTACTTGGAATGAGATCTGTAAATAACAGAAAGGTAAGTAGGCAAAATGATGATAGAGGTAACGGAAACCTACCGAAACGTCAGGAGAAGTACAATTCGGTTGGTCCATGAGGACAACTTTTTAATCGGAGAGAGGAGAAAAAACACGTTTTAAACTAAAGATCTGCCACATGTATGCATGTATATAGTTGGAGAATTAGAGGCAGAGCCACTGATCACCCTATTTATGTACAAGACTTTCGCAGATTCGCCCTCAAAATAAAATTGCAGAAATCTACATTGTGATCGGGTCACAGTACAGCCGTCATGATAAGGAAGCGCATCAGTTCACTGTAAGTCAGCGAGAAAAGGTTGCGTATGACAATGTTTTACACAACTGACTGTGAGTCGTCATGCTGTAAAATCCGGTTTCTGTCGAAAATTAAGTAAGCAAGTTTTCTTTTAAACATGCAAATATCGTCGACCGCCGCGATCTCGCTTGGTAGCGAGTTGCATGGTTGGAAAACTTGCTTGCTGAAGAAAAACTTCCTATGATCTAGCCGCGTCCATTAACCCTTGACTTTGTAGGGATGTAGTAACATTTAAATCTGTTTTGTTTTAATCAGTTACAATGCGCTTTGACACAACTTTGAATAAGACAAAGAACACGCACGTGCACGTTTACCTGCTGGCGACTTTGTTCTTATTTACTAGTTTGTAACTGTTGGGATACTGCTATTTTCGTTTCCTGGATAGCCTACTCGCTGTGCCCAACTAGTGGGTTTGTTTCTTATACTGGTGACCCTATATCGTTCATAGCTCCTTCTGTTTAATCTCTGTGCATAACTATTTCCATTCGGATTAATCCTCACTCTAATTTTTATCGATCAGTTTATTCATCTAGCCCTTATTTGCTATCCACACTGTCTCACCCTTTCGTCCAATACGAGCGCTACCCTTCAATCTCTCTGTCAACGCGCCAGTCCTCTACCCCATTTATCTGACCTCTGACCGACCTCGGCTAATTATGTCCAGCGATTCTAGCAGCCCGCCGATAGCCGGCATTCACACTTTTGACCTGCCATCCGTGTGGCTCGGTGACATCGCGTTATGGCTGTGCACTGTAGAGTCACGATTCGCCCTCCGTCAGATCACACGAGAGGATACGAAATTTCACTATGTTGTGGCAGCACTCCCAATGGACATCGCCACCGACCTCCGCGACATCATAGATTGCCCGCCCACAGAAGCCCCTTATACTGCCCTAAAGGAGGCCCTCATTTCCCGCATTTCCCTCTCAACGCAAAAACGTCTCCAGCGTTTAATTTCTGAGGAGGACCTCGGTGACAGGAAGCCTACGCAGCTTCTTAGGCGTTTGGAGCAGTTGGCAGACGGACAAAAGCTGGATGCCACCATGTTCAAGCAACTTTTCCTCCAATGGTTGCCTCCTTCTGTGCAAGCCATCCTTGCGCCTAACATTCCTTCGTCGACTGTTCAGATGCTCGCGGAGACTGCTGACCGTATACTCGAGTACTACCAGCCTCCTTTTACGGTTAACGTCGCCAGTCGAAGCACAACTGCCCCCACAATCGAGGATGTCGTCAAACGCCTGGATGCCCTCACTCTCGAAGTTTCCCAGCTCCGGGCCACTCGCGTCTATAACCCTCGTAGTCCTGCAATTTCTCGCCGCCCGAGATCTCCCACTCCAAACAAACCTACAGTTGATGGTTTCTGTTGGTATCATCACAATTATGGTTCTAACGCCCATCGCTGCCACTCTCCGTGCAAATATAAAACACCCGCGTCGGAAAACTCCCCTGCCGATCAGTAAGGGCGACGAACGTGGTCGGCACATCCTCTCCCAGTCGCTTACTCCACATTTATGACAGGACTTCCTGTCGTACTTTTCTCGTGGATACTGGTGTGGAGATCAGTCTAATCCCACCCACCTTGACTGACCGTAAGTCACCAAATTCTTCATTTTTTCTCCAAGCAGCTAACAATACTTCTATTAAAACTTTTGGTCAACGATCCCTAACACTAGATTTGGGTCTAAGACGTTCATTTCGTTGGCTATTTGCTATCGCTGATGTCCATACTGCCATTCTTGGCGCTGATTTTATATCCTTTTTCGGTCTCCTCGTTGACATTAAGTCCCATAAATTATTTGATCCTAAGACTTCTTTACATTGTAATTGTTCCACTCGTACCCTTTCATCACCTAATCCACGCATTTCAACAATCCCTTCGTCTACTCCCTATCATCGTTTACTTTCGGAATTTCCATCTATCACACGACCTTCACAATTTAACCAACCTATCAAGCATTCTGTTGTACATTATATTTCAACTACTGGACCACCCGTGTTTAGCCGTCCCCGTCGTTTAGCCGCCGATAAGTTAGCCATAGCCAAGGCTGAATTCAGTCACATGATGGAGCTAGGCATAGTTAGGCCTTCCACTAGTCCATGGGCTGCACTTCTACATATGGTGTGCAAAAAGTCTCTCGTTGACTGGCGCCCATGCGGGGATTACCGACAGTTAAACACCTCCACTGTGGCTGACAGGTATCCACTTCCCCATCTCCACGACTTTTCATCTAGCCTAGCTGGAGCGACAATATTTTCCAACATTGACTTAGTCAAAGCCTTCCATCAGATACCCGTTGCTCCAGAAGACATTCCCAAAACGGCGATTACAACACCGTTCGGTCTGTTCGAGTTTGTTAGGATGCCTTTTGGGCTACGCAACTCCGCCCAAACTTTTCAACGTTTCATCAACGAAGCCCTCCGCCATCTACCGTTCGTTTTTGTCTACGTCGACGATGTTCTGGTAGCAAGTTCCAGTGAACACGAGCACCTACAACATTTGCGTCTCATTTTTGAACGATTGAGCCAATTTGGCGTTTTCATTAATGTTTCTAAATGCGTTTTTGGCGCACAGTCGCTGTTTTTCTTAGGACATCGTGTAGATGCTTCTGGTTGTCATCCCATAGATACCAAAGTTTCAGCTATTCGCGATTTCCCTACTCCCACTTCTTTTCAACAACTGCGCCGTTTTATAGGCCTTGTCAATTTCTATCGACGCTTCATCCCTCATTGTGCTCAATTAATGCTACCACTTACTAACCTTTTACGCGGGAACAACCGTGAGTTTTATTTTCCTGACACAGCTGTAGAGGCTTTCAATCGTGCGAGGAAGGCTCTTGCGGATACAACTGTCCTTGTTCACCCTATACCTGATGCCCCACTTTCCATTGTGGCCGACGCCTCTAATTTCGCTATAGGTGCTGCCCTTCAGCAACAGACGCCCACTAGCACCCAGCCCTTGGCTTTCTACTCTGCCAAATTGACAGCCCCACAAACTCGCTATAGCACTTTTGGTAGAGAACTGCTTGCAATTTATTTAGCCATTAAGCATTTTCGTAATTATATTGAGGGCCGAGATTTTTGTATTTATACTGACCACAAGCCTCTTACTTATGCCCTTTCTACTTCTTCTGACAAGTATTCACCCCGCGAGGCCCGCCATCTCGATTTTATTTCTCAGTATACCACCGACATTCGATTTCTTAAAGGCCTTTATAATCAAGTTGCTGACTGTCTTTCTCGGCCTGGCATTAATGCCATCACCCGCCCTTCCATCGATTTGGAGCGCATGGCATAACTGAAAAATCAGCCGTCTTTCAGTGAGAGCCTTTAACACACTAGTCTTCAACTCGAAGCCATTCCTCTTTCCACCACCCCCGGTACAATCTTGTGTGACGTATCGCGCGGTGCCTCCCGACCCGTAGTGCCAAACGAGATGAGACGAGATGTTTTTGCCGCTTTGCACAATCTAGCTCACCCTGGCATCCGCACTACCCAGCATCTTGTGGTTGCAACTACTTACTTACTGCGATTGACCGATTTACTCGTTGGCCCATTGCAACTCCCATACCTAACATAACTGCAGATTCCGTTGCTCATGCTTTTTTGGAACACTGGATCTCTCATTATGGCGTCCCCTCAACTATTACCACCGATCGAGGCCAACAATTCGAGTCTAGACTTTTTAACAGCCTTACCAACCTCCTCGGATGTTCTCGCATACGCACGACAGCATACCACCCCTCATCCAACGGCTTAGTCGAGCGTTTCCACCGGCAACTCAAAGCCTCGCTCCGAGCTCATGACAACCCTTCCCATTGGAGCGAGCATCTGCCTTTGGTCATGCTCGGTATCCGTACCGCACTTAAGCCCGACTTGGAGTGTTCCGCTGCCGAACTTGTCTACGGTACCACCCTACGGATTCCCGTGGATTTTTTCGGGCAATCTCAAAGCTCAGGCGACTTGGATCCCAGCGATTATGTGCAAAGATTGCGCCAAGCCATGACTCATCTTCGAGCCACTCCTCCACGTCCTTCAACAAGTAAGTCGTACGTCGACCCGAACTTACTAACATGTTCTTTTGTATTTGTCCGCGTAGATAGCGTTCGCCGGCCACTACAACAGCCCTATGACGGCCCATTTCGAGTACTATCGCGCAAGGACAAGCACTTTACAATTGACCGTGGAGGCCGCACCGACGTGGTCTCAATCGATCGCTTGAAGGCGGCTTATACCGAGCTTCTTCCAACTTCTCCAACCGAACAACCCCCACTTGGCACATTGCCACTTGCTATTTCCCAGACTCCTTTTACGCCCAATAACCCCGCGTCTTCCCTTATCCCACAGACTCCTCCCCTTACGCGCAGCGGTCGTCATGTCCGTTTTCCCGACCGTTACCAACTTATACAATATGCATAACACTCCCATATTTTCCTTCTATTAAGAATATTTTTTTTAACTCCGTTCTCCAAGGAGGGGGAGTATTGTAGTAACATTTAAATCTGTTTTGTTTTAATCAGTTACAATGCGCTTTGACACAACTTTGAATAAGACAAAGGACATGCACGTGCACGTTTACCTGCTGACGACTTTGTTCTTATTTACTAGTTTGTAACTGTTGGGATACTGCTATTTTCGTTTCCTGGATAGCCTACTCGCTGTGCCCAACTAGTGGGTTTGTCTCTTATAGGGATGACCGCGTAATTAGTTTGTTCAAGCAGAAACAAAAGTTCTCCGTTCTTAATGAGCGACCACGGCCACGGACAATCCGGAATGCCCAGACTAGACTGCAGTTTAACTGCCTCTAAGAATAAGCCATGCACATTCAGCCTCTCCTGGTAAGACAAATGCTTGAGACCGTTGACCATCCTAGTCGATCTGCGTTGGACCTGTTCGAGTAAGTCGATATCCTTCCTCATCCATGGTGAAGCTGCCGGCATTACATATTCCAGATGGGGCCCTACAAAGACGCCATAAAGTCTTTCGGAGAGTTCGGGTGGGAATATCTTAAATGCACGTCTGATCCAGCGTAAAGTACTTGTTGCCTTCTGGACCATCTTCCTGCAGTGCCCCGATGGGAATAGATTTGTGGTCGTCCATACACCCAGATATCTGTGTCTTTCTACAGTTTCTAATGCCGTCCCGTTAATCTAGTACTGGTTTTTGGGAGAGACATTTGGGCCGATGTTTAGATGCAAGACCACGCACTTGGACACGTTAAATTTCAAAATCCATTTGTTTGACCAGACACACAGTTTGTCGATGTTCGACGGCAACTTCTTTGCGTCATCATCGCACTTGACTTCATGTCATCCGCTAACATGAGTGCCTCGCAATCCATTTCGGCGGTACAGTCATTAACATAAATGGGTACAGGGCCTACAACAGGATCCTGGGGACATCACTTTCCACTCTTGCCCATTCTGAGCTAGAGTTACCAAAGACGACTCCTTGTGCTCTTTAGAACAGAAAATTCTTGATCCATTTAGGCATTCTTTCTTGAATTCCTACATCCCAGATCCTCTGTAAAAGAGGCCTTGGGGGACACTGTCAAAGGCATTTTTGAAGTCAAAATATATGACATCCACTGGAAAACCCTTATCGGTAACTCGTGTCCATTTCTCGTTCGAGTAAAGAAAACCCGTTAGACAGGAGCGCCCAGCCATCCTGTCCCCTCCTTCATGACTTATTTTTGTTTTATTAGCGCCGACTGCCACGCGATTCTTTGGAACTGACTTGTCTAGAGTTCCCCCTGATTGCAAATAACTGTTAAAAGCTTTATACAAATCGTGGATGCAGTAATGAAGTCATCACAAGTCTACTGTCAACTATGTCCTTCAGCGAGAGTCGAATGATTACGTAGAATTTCACCAGACAATTCAAAGGTTCTCAAACGCGGCCGACGGTTTCACTGACCTATCCAGTCATACGAATATGCCTAGGGTCTCATTCATCACAGAAAGAACAACCCCGTGGGGATTATGACGACAGTTAATAATGGCGGCTATCTATCGGTCTTTGCTTTTCCACTTTAGGTATCGATATGCTGTCTCGTTCTATGCGGCCTGATGGTATGCTTTTAATCGAACTATCACACCTAATTTAAAATTTCCAACTCATTTCCGTTGTAGTTGCGATTGATTCTGCGTGCCATCCAGCCTGTAATCCATGCCCTATCAACCTAAAGCTAATAAATTTGGCACACGGTTCGGGTTTTTGAGCCTGCAGGTTGCTGTAGGAATCTGGGAGCTTAGAATCCACACACAAGTCCATCCACAAACGCGAATTAGACACATCTAAAGTGGAGTTTCGAAATCGTATGTACTTTCGTTGCAAATGAACCGGCGATAGTAGACTGCAAATAAGTCGAAGTTGCTTGGCGAAGCTGTTAAACCATTGTCTCATGCGATTCAACGCCTGCAAGTGTATCATACTTCGCTTAGGCAGCCCAACCAGATCCGCCAGCACAAGAAATTACTTTCTAGACGATGCACATTTACGAGACGTCGAAACCCACAAGAACATCGACGTGTTGGCAAAAAACCACCACAAATCATTCGCTCATTGTCCGAGAGTGGCAAAGGGCGATGTCCGTTCTGTACGCCATCAACCGAGATTATATGGATTTTGACTAAGACGACTTCTGCACACCTCCGGGACATTCATGCGGCTGCAATCGGAGTGCGTCATACAAACCTGGAGACCGTGAGCGGTACAAGATTAAAAAAAGTACAGAGGATGGCCACGAAAGTTTCTACGGGTCAAAGGCCCTGTCTTTATGAAACATGCCTAACTAAGCTGAAACTCTTCCTTTTGAGTTATAGGCAGTGGGGCTGAGATTTTTAAAAGCATTCCGCATTTTGAAGGGATTGGACTCCAGGTGGCTTTTGAGGACTTTCTTGAATCCGCTACCACGACAGCCGCGCATTCGGTAGGCAAGGCTGGATGAGGTTAAGTCCTCATTCTCTGTCAAAATGATCAAACCATAGAATGCATTCCATGCAAATGTTGTGGTGCCATCATCGATAGAAAACTTTGAAAAGAACCTTGACATATTAGCGGTTTGGAATAGTTAAGAGCGTTGAGAGAGTGAAGTAAGTCACTGAGACTCACGCGCAATTTGCCATACTTATGTAATCCAATTTGAAGTATTTGAGCCCGCACGGTCTCTCAGTACACCGCACTCAATTCTACGTTGCAACTAGGTTTCGTAGTTATTCACGCCTGTTTCCCTCAATATAACCGATATGCATTGACCTCCGATCTATTTTTTTACTGTGCCAAATTGTCGATGGAGATAATGTATAAAGCAGTCCTAAATGGCTGTGGTGTGGTCTACCGGCTGTCCTGGTAATCTGAATTTTCAGTATCCTCTCTCGGGACTGTTATCTCGCAATAACACTGCTCAAATGGATTGGAGACAAACTTTCCATTCGTATTTTTCCGCTGGTGTATAGTTTTGAGCTTGATTAATTTGCCGATTTTTTTGATCTGAGCTTTGGCAAAATTCAGTCGTCCCAGGCTGAGCATTTATACGTCCTCGGGGAATACGACATCGAAGGACGATTATTTCTTCTATCAGATCCGTACAGAACACTTATACCTCAGGTGGCTTACCATTCCCACAATATATGGTAACTGGGAAGACGCAGCTGACAATTCTCAGCCTCACGATGCGACATAAAATCGGCCACAGTTCTGTTATCGTCTTGCGATACAGAGGTAGACAATCTATGGATAAATGTACTACTACTCCCTCATCTTTGGCGACGACGCTCCTTTTCTATTTAACGGCGCATCTGCTTCTGCAGTTCAAAGTGAACAGTGAACGTACTCACCACTACCCAGTGGGGCTACTTGTAAGGCCTACGATGCCCCCAAGAGCGTCCTGGTATCCACAGGCATCTCCGGAACAAGTGACCTAAGTATGCCCAGAAGGTTTCGAAGATGACTCTGCGCTGAATTGGACCGCAGAGCCCATTCAGGCACCCTCCTCCGAATGCGTACATGCGTTGGCAGGTGATGACGTTTTCAAAGCTGGGAACGGGTTCTACGCATGAGACGCTGCCTGCGAACGATTTCGACAGGCGCATGCTTTCACAGCTGTTGGTATATATGTGTACTGAACAGTTAGACGACGATTCCGTGAAGGAGTCGTCCCTTCGAGAACGTTTTCCACTGCCGATGAGGAGATCTACCTCGTCATATATTTCTCTAGCCGTTTTCTCGATATCCTTATTCGCACGCCGTCTGCATGATCTTTCGATGCTGTGCCTAAACATTTTAGAGATAAAAAATCGGAGGTTAATGGGGTGCAAGAGGTATGTTGTAGAAAATGCAACTCGGCAGTGTAGAGCACATGCCGCACACACGCAATAGTGGGCGGCGGGAGCGCGCACGCCAGCGCTTGACGGGATAGTGCAATAACGGTGAACAGTCGCACTGCGCAATCTCCCATCGCGAGAAGTCGCGATAAGAGTACACCCAGTCCGCTACAGTATGTTACTAGGAACGTAGTGGTCCTTAATTCGTCTATTTCCGGCCCATTTATGTGAAAACCTGGTGTGTTGTGTGGGGGCCAGGTCGTCTATGGCACGTGAAGACGGGCTACCTAGCTGTGTCAGCCACTTGCGCTCAATCCCCACATCAGATGACTTACCGACACACGCAGCGGATTGATCCCCGCGAGGGAGCTCTCACAGGCATCAGCCCACTTTTTTCCCCCTTCCCGAAGTAAGAGTAGATTCGTTTCTCTGGGCTACGTCCTCACAGCACTCGGCGGATATTCTTCAGTATGAGGTATTGACGCTCTCCCAGTCTATCACGATACGTTAGCAACCGTGGCTTGGATACTGTCAGCTGACAGGCTGACTTTGTCCTCTCAGGGTGAAGAGTCGGACTGCAGTCGACCCTTCTTGGTTTGACCTCTGTGGCAATCTACGTAGTTCGGATCCGGGTTGCCTCTTTCGTGTTGGTGCGCAAACCTTCTTCTCTGTGTGCGGGCCAGGCGTGTAACACACGTAGGAGATCTGTTTAGCCTTGTCAGTCGCTGCGTCCGGCCTCGTCCCTCGGCCTTCTTGACTCCGTCTTGACATCACACCCAGGGGGATGAATGATGGAGAGTACACAAGTCCTTTATCACTTTAAATTAATTTACACCCAAACAAACGTCCCTGCCCTCGCCGTGCTGCGAGGCACACTGCGAACATCGCCGTTCGCCGAACCGTCAATTCGTCTGTTTATGCTACGGAGGACCGTCATTCCTTACTTGTTTACTGTGTGTACTATGCTGGTTTCTTGCAATCACTCTGTCCCTAGTTTATTTTGTCGCCTATGCCTAATTTTTCATTTAAGCGAGCTAACTTTCGCATCCTGTTTAAATACTCTGTTGTGAACCATATTCTTACTTATTAGGTTCAGTAATTTGGACTTCAGAGAAGACATGATGATGCCGGTGGCAGATGTGACCATTCTACCTGTTGAAGTCCTGCACAAAATATTTGGCCTCCTTAGTTTTGAAGATATCATTAACTGTTCACTGATCAGCCCTTACTGGCGATGGGTGTTAAACAGCCCCTTTGGCCTGCAGTTAATGACACGCAAACAGTCCTGGACCTGGCTAGATCTCAACTTGTCAAAACTTTTAACCTGTCTCACTTCTACAACCTGCAATAGTGAGTTGACAGAAGTTTTCTCCGAGGCCTACAAATATCGACACACATCCAACACCCTTTTCCACCGGTTTTGGTCAAATTTCAGCCTTCCAACCGCCATTAAGTCCATCGATGCCGTGCTTCTTGGTCCTGCAATTGATACTCCAAACCTCTCCGGTGGTTTTTTGAGCTTGTTATTCAATTCCATGGATGCTGCCGCGACAGCTAAGTTAAAATCTCCCCTACTTAAACGGACACGTATACCTGGTTGGAGTGGCCAGGGAATTGCTGTTCGTATTCCGATGTCTGGGAAAAACAACGCCTCTGGCTACATGATCATCAACCTAACAACGCTTCACGCCAAGGGGAAGTTAGATCGAGCCTCGCATCTATTTGGTGGCAGTCGAATCGAGGGTAGCCTTCTTATAGAGGAGCCAACCCCATCCACTCCGGCTCGACTGACTCCTGAAGCGTATCAGATGGTAGCTTCGACAGACCTTCTGCTCTACGCCGTAGACTGTCGCCACTCTGCGTCGGATCCCCAGCGCTGGCGGGAAATACGCCTTGAGTTATTGTTGATTATGAACACACTCACCGCCAACCAGACACTGATAATTCTTGGCGTGGGACGCAAGGATAACATCGAATCAGATCTTCTCTCACCGCTTGAAATCGTTAAAAACTTGGGCGGCGTCGAGCGTGAGCCAGGGCTTTGTCAGCCACTGGTGGCTTCCACCGTAAATTGGCGTGTGTGGCGTACTTATGCTGACAACGGTCAGTACACGAATATAAGTGAGATACTCCAGTGGGCTTTTATTAATGTGCTCCTTCTCAGGTCGCGACGGACGGGCGAAATGTCGCCGCCGAACTCATTTGGCCTTTCATTACGTGACTTTATCCCGAGATGGCTTCTCCCATCCTATCTCAGCCAGTGATTGCTGTTATCTACTTATTCAACCTTGTACATAGGATACAGAATATGTCTTTTATTCGTTTTTACTTTGTTAACTCTGATTTTGCCGTGTTTGGCGAGAATAAAATATTTTGTGCATCACGCAAAGCTGTTATTCTTTTAATTACTCATTTGCAACGATACCTCCAGCTCTGTACTGTGAGATGCGCGGGAACTTTTGAGAAATGTGCTTTCTCTTCGCTTACAAAAGCGTTGTTTTTGGAAATGTGATATTCGGGACCCTAGACGGCACGGTGGTCGTGTGTTCCCATAAATACAACTTATGCAGCCATGTGGTGAATGCACATCCTTCCGAATGGTTCACAATGCAACCACCCCGATTCCGGGTCATGTTTTGTTCGGGGTCCAAGATTGGCTTCCGATTCGTTCACCCTTCGCGTAGTAGGCTTAATGGCGTGCGACATCCGATGTACGGCAGTGGTAGCAGTGTATGATTGAATATACCATGTGTTCTTCCAACCTGACTTTGACCGCTGTCGATACGCTGCTAGCGTCTTCTTAAAAAGGTAGTAGCTGTGGTTAGCAAAAGTAAGAGATCCGGGTTAATAGTCTGAAGAAAATGATGTGCTCCCCGGATCGAGGGACTTGTTTGGCTGACATTTGGAAGAGCTGGGACGGCTCTCCCCTACCAAAGCGTCAGGGGAAAAATCAATCAGAATTTTGAATGGACAGCCGGATAAGCTGGCCTTGGACTGATCAATTTTTTTCTCTTCTTTCACTGCCTTGGCCTACTGGTCGTCGCCTGTGAGTGTTGGTGGACCCCTGTATTGTGTGTCGTCACCTCAGTTGGGTTTATTTGCGTCTGCGTCCCCGTTTGGGTGAATTGGTCGACAGGCCGTGTTTGCTCGGTAGTCTTAGGCTCCGCATGACTGTCTTGTCTTCGTCACGGCGTATGTAGTAACGTAAGACTTTATAGGCCGAAGGAAGTTCTAGATGTCTGTTGATGGAGTTGGCATCAGAGTACCAAGCCTCAAGTGTGAGACGCTCTGTCCTTGAGGTGCACCTGCCTAAGATGGCTGCTACTTTAAAATCAAAACTGACCAGTTTCCCCGATGTGAGCCGCAAGCTGTGATTCTGGGTCTAGTTTCCGAGTTGCCAGTTTGTGCTCATGTAGGCGGGTCTGCAATTTCCGTCCGGTTTCCCCAACGTATTTGCAATCTCCATCGCTACAACTTATATGATAGACAACTGCTGAGGTTTCAGTGGGTGGCAGTATGTCTTTGGGTTGCATCAAACGGCGACGAATTGTTGCCTGGGATCGTTGGGCAATGCCTACCCTGGCGGGCTATAACAGTCGTGGCACCGCCTCGGAGACTCCAGAATTCGAGTTGTTCTTCTTGTGACCGTCGTCTGTTCACTCGGTGCTTACTTTGCTTGATGAGGTAGCTTTGATAACAGAGAACCGCCCCAGTTCTTCGAAACGTCAGCCAAACAAGTCCCTCGATCCGACGAGTACTTCATTTTCCTCAGGTATTAACTGTCCTCATTTTTTTGCTTTTGTGCTTGTATCTGAGAGAGAGTAGCAAAACCATCTAAAATGAAATCCTTTAATGACTGCACTGCTGATTGTCGTATGGCAATTCCCACGTAACGCACCAAGCTATCCGATGAGCCGCCACGTGTTCGCTGTTCAGAATGTATCTAGTCACGTCTTTGGGGTCAACGTCATAATTAGGCAAGGAGTATACACTTCAGGTTACGAGTATGGAGACCAGCACCCCAAATAGCATGTTTAGGCAGGTTGGTGTGCCAAACAGTGCGGTCTAACGTAAAATTATTGGATCACTACTCCGACAGATTTTATACCGGCTCGGAAAACATCAGACAAGGGATAGAACAAGAGGCAATGAAGGTCAGCTACGACCGTGAAATGGGCGACTGTTAATGTTTTCTCGTCGGTTTATTTATGTTTATATCGGTCAAAACGGTCTGTGGGGAAGTAAAATACCACAGAGCACGGCAAGTCCAGCCGCCCCTCATCAGTTGATGGCGCCTGTATCGCACGGCTTAGTTGGCGTCATCTCGCCCTGCAAGGCGCGATCTGCTTCTCTGCAAAAATCCCGTCTTTGGAATTGACCCACGTTCAGATATCTCATGTGTGCTGTCTCTAATCGGTCGAGCCGTGCCCATCCGAAGGAAACTCCGCTATTTTTAGTACTTGTAATACTTAACCAACAATAGGATAGTCGTGTACGTCACTAGAAACTGCCAAGCAGATATGCACACTTGTCTTAACATCAAGGGGCCCTCTTGTATGCGTGAAGTTCAGCAAACTGCCCAGATGACACGGTGGTTGCTTGCAAGTTTATTTGACGCGGACTCCCGATGCACCCAAAATACGCCCCTCGCTCCGATAGCAAGGGCAAGTCAAAACACCTGAAGATTGGCATGGCTGAAAAGGCTGACCAGCCCGTCTACTATGCTGCACACGACCCCGTCGCTAACTCCGCAAGCGTCAGGCTTCACTGGGGGAATCTCAGACCTTACGCGTGAGTGCCGCAGAGGCCACATTAAGAACCCATCTTCAGTTTTGGGTAGGATAGAGCTGTCCCGCTAGTCGGTGACCTTCCGAGCTACGATCGTCAGTACACCGCGAGTTTGAAAGCCGATTCTAGCATCTACAGCGAAGAAATTAAGTGGTTTGTCCGAAAAAAATCGACTAGGCGCAGCGGTCGACGTGAAGGCATCCGTTTCACGCGGATTTCACGTGGAAAATGCACAGAATACCGCATTGCCTGAGACCCTGGCTAACTGAGCGCAACCCGTCTACTTTAACAGCGACGCAACGCTTTTATGCTTTATAAGAAAAGAGGCAAGGCGGAGAAGACGTACAGACTGAACGGGTGATTCGGACTAATACATGCCCTCTGCAGTCAATAAAACCGTCGAATAATGCCCGAGACTTGGCACAGAGCATATGCACACGCACCTAACGGCTGGAGTAGCGACGTCATCGAATGGCTGTCCCAAAATTACGCCGCCGGTCGGTGGCTTAAGCCCCACCACATTCTGTTGATGTGCTGAACAAATCTTCGAGAGCCCTCGTACGTCTGCTTCTTAGATGCTGGCGCACCTCGCCGGCGTTATTTTGGTGTGCAAACTGGCGCAGGGGGCGTCAGTCGGGCCCTGAGTCGGACTCCTCCCCTCTTCGAAGAACACAAGGTAAGAATAAAGTTACGGAAACCATGCTGCAAAGATAAATTTTATACGCGCAAAATGGAAGCCGAGCAGCATGCCTGAAGATCGCAAACGGCACTCAACGGAAGGGCGAACGGGGCAGCTTACAGTGTCGAAGTGGACGGCGCTCAAAAAACGCGCCTCCGTGCGGGTGGCCGGGCAAAAAGACATAAGATGGAAGATTGTAAGAATACCTAGCTAAATACAACTGGACTCTCATCGGGTTTCAACTCCGTTGCATTGTTCATGTACGGCCAAAGGACTTGCGGCAGACCAACAGTTCCATCCTAAGGGCAAAAAGACAGTAAGAACGTGCTGCGTGGCACAGATGACGCTCTTGGGAAGGCAAACCAGAAATGAAGGCAGACTATTTCACACGACGAAGCATAGAATAATCAGGGGGGCGAGTGGTTGGGGCAGGGCAAAGACAGAAAATGATCAAATATAGTTGTAACACTGCCCTGCTAGGCGACCGATGGGTCTCATTTTAGTTGGAGGAGTAAACAGTTCCATAATTCATTAAATTCGAACTAGAATTAGGAACTGACGATTGCTGGACTGTAGCAGCAAGCAAAAACAGCTCCGTAATCAGTTCATTTTGTGAGATCCTGTCTTTATATAGCGCATACGTTCTAACCCAGCTAAATCACATAGGCCAAAAAACCCAAAAAAACATATGGAACAGGTTAAATTGTTCATATTGTTCATATTTATCCTCATTTGCGATGCGCGCAGGCCTTGTGCAGCAGGATGGGGCGTCCCATTAGGTGGAATGAAATCACTAAGACGGTGAAGGGACTTACCTGGTGAGTTGTCACCATTGTAAATTACGCCCCGAATGCTGGCGATTTTCGAACTTAAGTGGCCGAAAGTGTGCCGACGGGAAGTTTTCGTTGGCCTTCTAACGCTCGGACAGTTTAGCCCAGTAAGGTAAAAACACTTTAAGTAGTGTGCGGTAGTAACGGTTTTCGGTCGGCCAATTCAGTTAAATGTCCCATTAAGAACAGACTCCACATGTGGCTATAGAAATCATTTGCTAGCACTCCTACATTCGTGGCCAGGACACATCGGACTTACCATGGAGACGGATCCCTACCACCTCATCTAAACTGCGGAAAATTTCCGCGGAAAAGAATGCTTTAACACATAAACGTTTGGTTTATCTTACTAGAAGTCACTGGGAAACCCCATATGAATGAGATGGGGGTTCAACTGATCACCTGACCAACGGGAAGTCTTGTACAAAAAATCGATTCATGTTCTAAAGTCCGCTCCCCCTCCCCTACTTATCAAGTTTCCTGCCCCAACTTGTTCTAGTCTGTCGGCAAAATTAGTGCTTTGCCGTCCTTCCGCCTTAGTTTTCTTTTATGAAAAAAAGAGCTTGCTTCAGAAGCGCCGGTTTTAGCAGCCGTATTTTTGACGTTACGCAAACTACTCAATAACGAAGGAAATGTTTCTGAAATTACTTTCCAAATGGCCCCTAACATGAAAGTGGATGTTAAAATTCGGAGTATGAATTAAGGAAAGAGGTGGCTGATTCAGCACCGGAACAATTTGCTGATTTTTGCGAGCTTTCAACCTCATGAAGGAGTCCACTGTCAGAGGTGACACCGGCAACGGAACAAGCGACAGTTATGGGGATATTGGGCAACCAGGCGTCAGCGGCGCAGGCCTGGAGATGACTGTGTAGGGCTCTGTGTGTCGGCGCAAAATCGAAGAACTGAGACCTCATCCGAGGTTCAGGCTTCAATCAATTCTCGGCTCGTCTTGCTTTAGGCCGCTCGG